ATCGAGGAGTTCACCATCGTGAAGCCCATCAGCCGCGGCGCCTTCGGGAAGGTGTATCTGGGCCGCAAGGCGGGGAGGCTCTATGCCGTGAAGGTGAGGGGCGGTGTGGGGCGCCTCCCCGCCACCTGTGGCACTCAGGGCTCCCTCACTGCCTGGGGTCGTGGTGCTGCTACCCTTACTTTCGTTTAACTGCGTGTGGGAAACGGACGTCCCGAGAGGAAAGGGAGGCGCCCCGCGGCGGCCTCCCCTGACAGGGCTGTGGGTTGCCCCGACATGAGCCCCTCTGCCTCCCGGCGCTTGGGCTTTTGGGAAGCGCCCGCGCTTCTGGCAGAGGCCTGGAAGATGTGTTGTCTGCATGGCTGTGTTTGGCTTTCTGTTGACGTCCTGTTCGGCTGCAGGCTTTAGTTGGGAGGTATCTGATAATGACAACTGCTTTTAGAAGTACCTTAAATGTCGAGGAAACTATGTCAACAGCTTTCCAAAGTGGCAGTGTGCTATTTGTTGCTTCCTTGTAAATTATTATTATAACCGAATATATTCAGCTATTATATCACTGGGGTGGAGGCTTTCTCACGTTTGTTCACGTATGAAAACCCTGCCTCTGAGATGCATTAAGAGAATGAGTTAAAAAGGATTTTTTGTTGAGTAAGTGTTTAAACACTTGCGTTTTCTATGTTGAGACATGAAATACTGAAAACTTGGCTTGTCAGTAGTAAAAACTTTACTGATGGTTTGTGCAAGCTTGACTTTGCAGTTACAAGGGTTATAACCGGCTGGATAGTACATAAAGAAAAGGAAATGTGAAAACAGTCACGTAAAGTAGATACTGCTGTTCAGAGTTACATATAGCTATTTATAGGATTTTATTAAAAGCATTTTGAGGTAAAAGATTTTGTGTAAATCCTTTATCAGTGTTGCAGTGAAGTTTATGAACTGTTCACAACTACAATATTTAGCATGTGCTGAACACTTATACAGTTAAGGCAAACACTTAATAAAAGTGTAGCTCTGTGCATTGTGTCTGTCTCTAGATTTATTTTTTTTGGTATCAACTTTGATAATGGTAACTGCAAACTAACTTTCTACAGTTTAGATGCTGCATATAAAGTGGTTCAATTGTGTTACTTCAGTATCTTACACAAGTTTATTGCAGGTATTGACCTAAAAGCTTTTGTATAAATCCTTTATCCCTATTGCAGGAAGACTTACAGATTAATCAAGCTACTGAATGTAATGTATGCTAAATATTTTTACAGTTAAGGTCAACATTTACATTGATGGTATCTAATTATACTTCCTATTTCTTTCTGGTTTTATATGTTATCAAATTATGTTGTTGAATCGTGGTGGTAGCTGTAGACTCAACTTTTTACAGTTGTGTTGCATAGAGAATGGCTGAATTAAACTTGCTTTAATAATACCATACCTATCAGGACTGAAGTTGTTGAAGGTGGACTAGCTTCCAGTGCATAGGCAGTGCTTGCCTAAAATACCTATCAGCTGTGCTATTATGCATCTTTCATTCAAGCTTAATACTGAGTGGGCATCAACATATAGTGGAGTAATTCAATACAATAATTGGAGCCTAATTCACAGTTCCTCATTGTGAGTTGTACGCCTTTGAGGCGTCTTCCTGAGGAAGCAAATATTTGTTTGGTGACTTGATAGTAAATTTTGAATTAAGCAAAAAAAAAAATCACTTGCTTTCTCTGAGAAGTGAAGAATTGAAGGCTGGAATAGTTGCAGTCTTGCACTTGAGAATATGAAGATGGGACAGCTTACTGCTGTACTCTAGTTTCAAGCCTCAGGCCATGTATTTCAGCCACTAAAGAGATATGAAGACTTAGTCATCAAGTGTATATCTAAGCATTGAACATTTTTCTCTGGTTCTGAGCTGTGTGCTGTAGATTAAAGGATTAACTCAGGGCAGCTTGATTTCAGATACAGCCTAAACACTCATTTTCCAGTGTGTGCAATTGCAGTAAATATTGATAGTGTGATTTCAATTTGGAACTAAACTAGGAGAGTGGTTTAAAATTCTGTCTGTGTATGAAGTTATAGCTCTGTTTCATGTGCATATATGTATGTAATTTTGAAGTATAGAGATAAATTAATTTACTAAAGAACTGCAGTTTGAGTAAAGAAAATAATGTTTATCTCCTTAATTTTTGTTTTGTTTTTCAGGTGATGAAAAAAGCAGACATGATCAACAAAAACATGGTTCACCAGGTCCAGGCAGAGAGGGATGCGTTGGCTCTCAGTAAAAGTCCTTTCATTGTGCACTTATACTACTCGCTTCAGTCAGCTAATAACATCTATTTAGTGAGTAAATAAATGGCTCTGGTGTCTTATGGCAGTGTTAAAAATGGAGTGCAGAATTATATTCTTGTCTGAAAACAAATTTTTATGGTAGCGAGTGGAGATTCCTTTGTCACTTTTACTTTCTACTTTGTCAGGATGGTTGAACAAGTGAAATAGTTGAACTCTTCCACTGGTACCTTTGAGATCTTTCCACCTGTGTTACCTTTTTTTACAGGAGAATATTTTCCAATAGCTAATCTGTTTTAGGAATGTGTAGAAATCTTAAGGAAAACAAAACGAGAAACCATACTGTTTAAGCAGAATCCAAGTGACTGAAAGATACCCTGTGTCTCACTTAAAAGGAAATCTGTTTTTCTTGTTACCTGTGGTCAAAATTCACTGTGGTAGTTGGCCTAGATGACAAGACACTAACTGAGTGCCAAAACTAAGTGCTAGTCTACATGAAGCACTGTGCAGTGTGGTAGGACTTGAATATGGTTTTATAGACTGCCTCCGCATAAAGGTAGTATGGATTAAGACTGTCTACAAAGGGTCTGGTGTAATTTATCTGGTTTACTGTAAACACACACAGTGAACAGCTTAATTAAATTCTGAAGTGGGGTTGCTCACTTTGTAAAGGAAATGCTATAATCATGTATATGGAGTAGTTTTGTATATTGAAACTTAAGTACTGCTGAGATGTCTTGACCAAGACCCCACAAATTCATTCTTGTCTGAAGAATGTGTTTCTGTAACCCTGCTGACTTCTCTTTTTTCTTGATTATGACATGGGCTGTAATAATGTGGGGGGTTTTTTTGGATGTGTGTATTTTTTTTAACACACATTTTCATGTCTTAAATGCCCAGTAGCTCTCACTGTATACGTTTCTGGAAATTTGCACTTATTTCACAAGGCTCAAGTATGAATTTAGTGTTGCATATGAACACTTGTAAAGCAAAATCATTGACATGCCTGTTCTAAACTAATCAAAATATCAGTGGTCTTTGACTTCAGGCCTTGGGTTTCACAGAAATCACTTGCAATTTATATTTTATAATAAAGTTTCAGAAGCTAATTAAGAAGCTAACTACTGTAGTTATGAGAGCTGACTATAGAAAGTACACCGGGCAAATAATGTCAAATAAGTAAATGGTCTATTTAAAGAAAATGTTTCGTGTTCTCTGTTTGGTTAGCTTTAGTTATTTTATCCAAGTGAAAAGTCCTGTGTGAGGCATAAAGTTTGCACAGGGAAGCTTCTGTCAGCTTCTGCTCTCTGAAATTATACTCTCCTAGGAGTGAAAGCTATTTTATATTTTACTTGCAAATTTTAAATGTTTTAAAATGTTAAATTTAAAACACTTGAATGGCAGGTGATGGAGTACCTTATTGGTGGAGATGTCAAATCTCTTCTCCATATTTATGGATATTTTGATGAAGAAATGGCTGTTAAGTATATTTCTGAAGCAGCACTAGCTCTTGACTATCTTCATAGGCATGGGATAATCCACAGGTAAAACTTTCTTATTTTCCTTCTTACAAATATGTAACTGGTACTTCGGGTTTTAATTTTTCAGTCAAACACATAACCAATCATTTCATAGTTACAGCTGCCTCATTTGCTAGAGCTTCTGGAAGCCGTTTTTGCATGTGTACACTGCAGCAATGTCATAAAACAATACCTAAAATAATATCTGTTCATATATGTTAAGCAGACAAATACACACTGCTTTCCCCTGCCTGCATGCTCTCCCCTAGTGTACAGTGCTGTATCAGCAACTATGCTGCCTTCTAGGTCCCCTCTCCTTGTGGCTTTTAAATGACTTAGTTCAGGAACCCTCTGGATACTGCAAGCATGTAACTGTACGACAAAGGGACATTGGCTGCTCTAATGCCCCCCCTGTAGCGAGAGTTGTTAATACAACTTGCACATCTTGTTTTTCAGCAGATTTAGCAACACTTGAGACATTCGTGGTGATTTTACAAGACCCGGGACATTTGTACATTATTTAGTGCTCGAAATGCTTAATCATTTTGATGTATTCCTCCAATTGGAATCTTCTGCTTGCTAAGAGATGTTACTGAGAAACTGCTAGAATCACTGTTTTGTGTTGAGTGTTTCTGGTCAGGTAACTTTCTTAATATTGCTGTTTATCTTTTTGCTGACTCTTAATTCTATTCATGTCTTCAGGGATCTCAAGCCAGACAATATGCTCATTTCTAACCAGGGCCATATAAAGCTGACGGACTTTGGGCTTTCCAGAGTTACTCTAAACAGAGGTAAAAGTTGTCTGTATACTTTTTGAATGTATCAGAATGTGTTTTTTGTCACATTCCCATATTCTTGAATGCTTTACATCCCCACAGAGGGCAGCTTTCAGTTAAATAAGCCCAAATGCTGCACTAATATCCAATTAGTACCATGAGGTACATGCTAGTAAAAAATCTGCTCTTCACTGTATGTTGGAAGTGAAAGTACTTATTCTTTGGGACAAGGGTGCATGAGATGTGATCTAGAGCCATTTCTCTTGAAGTATGGATTTCAAAGTTTTCTATGAAGTCTTCTAAGAGAATTCAAAGGGTGAATGAATAATTATGGACTTTTCTTGGTGTTGCTCTGGCTATTTCTGTCCTTCAGTTCATGTTTCTCTCTCTGTATATATTAATTTCCAACCTGAACTGGAACTTTCCAGACATTAATGTGAGGGACAGTGGGAGGTGACAAGTCCCTAACAGAAGATTATAAACCGGTGTTTTAGCATACGAACATACTGTTTTCAAGTAGCAGGAAATACAGCCAAATAGTCAAATGACTATCTGGCAAAGGCAATAGGCTGCAGGTCACAAGGTGAACAGCC